TCCTGTCTGTGTCTCAGTTCTTTTTTCTCCGAGTCTTCCTTTTAGTGTCTTGTGATCTGAGTTATGAACACAATTGTGTCTTGTGTTTTGAGTTATTCGGAGTTGGGGTTTGGTCCTCTGAGCCATTATCTGGATAATAGAGGATGGTAAATTAGGCCTGGTTTTGAGGGGGAGTGTCTTGTATCTTCCTCCTCATGTACACCAGGGCAAAGGGTACACGTCATAAAATAAGTGGTGTGTGATGTACATGAAGAATGAAAGCTTCTAGAAGTCACATTATTTTCTGCTAAACTCGTCATAGGCCGGCTGAAATGACTTCAGGACTTTCTACTCCTTGACTTCCTGGGTTTGTTGTACAAAAGGAGTTTTAGCCAAAATTTGTCAAAAGGGGGAGATTGAAGGCTTTAAGATTTGATTAAATTTTGGTAAAACATGATTTTGAACAAGATGTTCTAACATGAAGAAATCTGTAAAGAACAACATGTCAGACAAGATGTCTTGTCTTGAGAATTCGACATCTTGGTCTGATACATCAGGCTTATTGCAGATCTATTCTAAGATTTAAGGCGCAATCAGAACATGGATCAAAGAATGATTGGACAGAGATTTCTAAGCCCATAGACAACTGAAGATTACAAAAGGAATATCAAGACCTATGGAAAACTACTAGTCATTGTTAAGACTTTTGTAAAGCAAAAATAAGGATTTTGGTTTTGAGTGTCGCGTGGCTTTTCTTGTAATGTAAGTCACCCTCTATATCGGTTTGATACATTGTGGTAGACATATTCTTGCATATTCAGAAACGTGTAGGTAATGAAGTGTATACTGCCATTGAATGAAGTTTTTAAGCAAATTCAAGTATTAGTCATAGTCATGAGTATTGACTGAATATTATGTTGAAAGGGTTGTCTTTCAATTGAACATTTTGATACAGTCACCAGAGGTTATGACTGTTAGATATCACTGAAGTGATTTAGGAATTGAGATGGATTTCTCTTATCTAGACGAGTTTCTAGGTAGAAGTTGCACTGGGTAGTGATTAAGTGAGAGGTTGTAAACGAGGGAGTTTAGCTCTAAATTAATACTACTGATATTGAATTCATTATTGGCTTGGTAGTCTCCAGATGTAGGTGTTGTTATACAACGAACTGGGTCATCATATCTTGGTGTTATTTATCATTCTACTATGCATAATTCAGTCTATTCTTATGCTCTAACATATATGTCCTAACAGATGTTGAAACATCTGTCATGATACTGTTTGACTTTGAAGCATCAGAATGTTCTTGTTCTGTCCTTGTTCAGTTAAGCAAAGATCATTGTCTCGATATATCTTAGGACATTTGAGATCTGCAATCCAGAATTTCAATCAAAAATATCATAATGCAATTCAATATCAAAACCAATCCCCGACAACGACGCCATTTTGTTCGAGTTGCAGCATAGCTGCAAGAAGCAAAAGGATTTGGAAGAATTTCCTCTAGGATTTATATCATCTCCACAGGGATCAGTGCGAGGAAAAGAATGTCATCCGAAAATCTCAACGTTTCTAAGCTTGGTTTGAATGGTTTGAGATAAAAATGCAAAAATAAAAACATATGACAAGTAAATAAAGTACGATAAATAATTCGTCAGGAGTTGTGTTTCATTCTACCCATCATGTGCTAAAAAATCTATGGATCAAATGCATGCAACCTAAATTACTCGTCAAAATCCCCATGTATCACTCACAACAAGAGGTTATGTCTAACGCAAACGTTGAAAGATCAACCACATTCTCTTGGAGGTGATGTCTCGCGCAACTAAACAACACGGAGCATTAAGATTCGACACACACATGTGAATATTAGACCGCTTCCCACAACTAATAGACACACATCTTAGATCAATTTCGAAAATTATATATCTATAGCGATCCAAACCCATTAAGATAGACAATAAAGAAAAGATGATATCGATTAAGAGTTCTAAAAGAGATTTTATACAAAGATCCATAAATACACATACAATCAAAGTAAAATTACATACAACAACCCCAACAAATGAAAACTACATAGAGAAGAAGGAAGAAGAACAAACATCCCTCGGTTTGTCAAAACTAATTGAAGTAGATTCGACTCTGGATCATCAAGATGCAACCTCCATTTGTTATTTTTGAGCTTATTTCCACAAAGAATAATGTTGATGGAGTTGGGTGAAAAAAACCCCAAAACCATAACCTAAAAATCTAAATGAGGAGTATTTATACAAAACTGAAAATTACAAGCGCGTTAAGCACCCTCAGATCGCGCTAGGCGCAATCTCACTTAAAGTACCCTTAAACCGATATAAACTGCGCTAAGCGCGAGCAGGAAAACCAAGTTTATTTGCTTCTGTCATCCACCTATAGCGCGCTAAGCGCGAATGCCAGTTAAAAAACTCCAAAATTATGCATTTGAAGGATCCCTCTTGACTCAAACGGGTTCATACTTTAACCATACATTATTACCTATAAAAGAAGATGAAAAACTGCCAAACTCAACAATATGTACACAACATCGCAAAATATACAACAATATGTAAATTATACAAAATGTATATAAAAACGGGAGATTTTTAACGAAAAACAAACTAATCAAGTCGTTGAGTGCTATTATTTACACTCAAAATAACAACAATTTAGCATTCAATAATGGTCTGAGATGTAGATGGAGTGACATGAGGTGAAGGCTGAACCACAGGAGTAGACTGAGCCTCAGGAGTAGACTGTACACTAGCAGTCGACGCCTCTCCCTGACCAGAGGTACCTGCTGCATCCGGACCCGACTGACTCCACTCTCGTCTAACAGATGCATGCTAGGCAACTCGTCCATGTCTCAATCGGCCGACTCTGTCAGCCATTATACTTGTAATGTATAATATAATTAATGTACAACGAGTTTACGCAAAAAGAAAACTTATAAAACAAAAAGTAAAAAAAGACTGAGAAAATTTCGGAGATACATCTCCGGAATCATTCAATGTTTCATGTACTCTGGGTGATTCCGGAGATACAACTACGAAAACATTTTGTAGATGTATCTCAGAAATCACCCAGAATACATGAAATGTTTAATGTTTTCAGAGATGTATATCCAGAATATTCTACAACTCAGAGGTCACGCCAATAGTGTCACCTGCCTCTCAGAATGACAAATTTGAAGTCATGATCGTCCGTTTGAGCCAACAAACAATACATATAGTTACTCTAAACTATGTTTCATATGATTTCTAAACATTTCGGCACCTAACAATGAATTCTAACTCACTTAAAATAAAACTCGAATATTTATCGGAAACTCGAAAAACTTAATTATATGATTCAAAAGATGTTGAATGATACACAGGATGCAACTTAGTGATTACTTGAGTCTCGGACGGAAGAAATTAAATTTGGTGAAGCTTGAGGAATTTGGGAATGAGTGAGATGAAGAGGTTTGTGAATAGAAATGAAAAAGTGTGGGAGGAGAAGAGCTTGCCGCGACAATATGCTCTAAATTGTTCTAGAGATATATGTCTGAAATATTTCAACGTTCAATTGATCTTTGGTGCGTTTGGAGACATATTTTCGAAATATCTTAATGTTTAGTTAAAATATGGTGCGTTCGAAAATATATCTCCAGAAACTATGGCCATTATAAAAAATTTATACGGTGTCTAAAAAAATTTATAGACACTGCACTATTTGAAACAGAAAACCCAATTGAAAAAAAAATGACATTGTCACGTGAAAAAGAAAAATTCAATTGTCGGATTTTGAAATTAGAAAAGTGTTATTCAATAACTATAGAAAAATGAATTTTGAAATTAGAAAGGTTTCGAAAAAACAATAGAGGAATTATAGTCCAAGCAACAATTGAATACAATGAAAAGAATTAAAAAAATTGAAATCCAAGAAAAACAACTAAATCAACCAAATCATAATTCACAATCATGTTAAATTATAATTATATATTAATGATAATTAATTGAGTTTTAAATCATATAATTAAGCTTTGATATCAAATGTAAATGGAAATATTCATTGATCGATCTGTATCTCGCACTTCCGCTCACAATTCTCAAACTTACAATTCTCAATAGGACAAGTTGTGGAGCTGTCAATTATGTTTTTTATTCTTGTGATTACATAATGTACCTAGCCATATAATAGATATAGCCTAGTCACTATTTATTATGGGTTTAAGGTTAAAGTCCACACTTTTACCCACACCAATCAGGTTTCAGATACTAATAAAAGGACTTATATATACACTTACATCAGAATCACGATTAACCCGTTTTTCACAAACTAAACAACTATTCTATAAAATATTAGATAAATCTAGCAATATAATAATTCTAAGTTTGTAATTAGATGAATGATAACGAACTGAATAAATAAATTCAAACTTAACAAATAAGAGTGAATGACATTACGTAACGTGAATTCGTATAAATAATAAATTTTCTAACAATAGTAGTCGAATGTTGATAATTAATTAATAGAATAATGTTGGCACATTTAACCAATCGAATATATGATCAATATCATGATAAGTACGTATAAATCTGTAGGATTCCATGCAACATACGACAGATTATGAAATAAATTTTCATAATTAAGTCGATAGACAAACCTTTATTTTAGGATAATTAATGTGATTTGCTATTCAAAAAACAAAAACAACAATAGTTTCTTCTAATTATAACCAAATGAGTTCCACCATCCAAAACATTCTCATTCTTATCCTTTGCAAATGCATGCAGATGAAACCAGAGAAACACACAGAAGTTAAGGTTGTGATCTCCTCCTCATCCAAACAAGGTCACGATCTTTCCTTCCATATTATATTGCCAATTTTTCAAATAATTGCACCAGCTAGCTTTATCTTTAATTTTAATCTTCACCAACACGATAGATTGCAAAGAGTTTGGCTTTATTCTTATCTTTTGCATTCTATTGTAGTTGGTTCTTGAAGAAGAAACATCAGAAAAGAAACATGGTGTATCGATTGGTTACTTGTTTTGGTGGGCGAATTCTAGGGAAATTTTCATGTTTTATGTTGTGCATGCTGCTTGAATGGGTGTTGTTGATTTCACTCTACGTTGATGGGTTTCTAGCATTTTTCACCACTGAGCTTTCAAGGTTCTTTGATTTGGAAACTCCATGCTGGCTCTGCGCGAAGATGAATCATGTTCTGGCACACAATACGCCTAATTTTTATTACAACAATTCCATCTGCCTGGCTCACAAGAAAGACCTTTCGTCTATGGCGTTTTGTCATAATCACAAGAAGCTTTCTGATATAAGACAGATGTGTGAAGGGTGTTTACTTTCGTTTGCAACGCAGAAGGAATCAGATTGTGATACCTACAAGTCTCTTGTAGGAGTTTTGAACAAGAATCTCGACTGCTTTGTTGATGGACAAAACATTCAATTGACTCTGAAGGATGGCGAGGTCTTGCAGGCCGAGAAAAGTACTCAGAATTGTGCATGCTGTGGAGCACCATTGAAACCCAAATCTTCCATCTCAAGAAGGAATTCAGGCTCGCTTTCATATTCTCCAGCAGCTTTGCCACCAATTTATCCAACCGCGGTGCCAAAATCTGAGGAATCTCGCGGTGTAGATTCGCCTCAGATCCTGTCTGCAAAAAAAGATTCAAAGCTTCCACAGAATGAGGATGACAGCAGCCTTAAAGATCAGAACAATAAATGTGAGTGCATATAAAAACATGAATTGAGTTTTTAATTAGATATAACCTATTATATGCTATAAATGAATCAAAATGTGGCAGAACTACATTGAAACATTGACAATGAACATATCAATTTTTTATGCAGTAAAGGAAGTACCAAAAGAAGCCACGCTGCCTCTATTGACAGGATCCAATGATCTAAACGCAGAGTCCCTGAAAACCCCGTCTTTACCATGGAGCAGCAAGCTTTTCGGAGTTCCGCTTACAGATTCTGCGCCGACCAGGAAATCATCACTAGAAAAGACAGGATATGTGTCTGACTCTAGCGAGGTTAGTTCTCAAAATGAAGACGACGATCCCGTCTTACACACTTTGAAGAGGCAAGTTCGTCTAGATCGCAAGTCACTCATGGCGTTGTACATGGAGCTGGATGAAGAGAGAAGTGCTTCAGCTGTTGCGGCCAACAATGCTATGGCTATGATTACCCGCTTACAGGAAGAGAAGGCAGCTTTGCAGATGGATTCTTCACAGTATCAAAGAATGATGGAGGAGCAGATAGAGCATGACGAAGAAGTCCTGCAAGAAACTAATGAGCTGCTTCTCAAACTAGAGGAAGAAGTTAAGACTTTAGATACCGAGTTAGAGGTTTACAAAGCTAAATATGGATACTTGACCGAAGATGATGTTAAGGCTCATGGTGGCAACAGCTTTTCAACCGAGTCTATTGAAGGCAAGGATGATGCAGAACAATACCTCGATCTTCAACAATCTGGTTCGTCAAATGCATATAACGGGGAGGGGAAAATCAAGGAGTCACTAAAAGATTTTAGAATGGAGAGAACATATCTTTTTGGCAAGAAGAAAATGGAAACTGAAACTCTCTTGACAGAGAGTGGAATATAACACATTAATACGGTAATATTGTCCTTTATTTCTATTTTCTCTTATTGAGTGCGTTCAAACCCAAATAGTTAGCTCGTGCCGAAGACACTAGGTTATTAAATACTAGATGCTTTGCGAAAGGGCCACTCAAGTAACGGAAGCGGCGAGTAAAATTATTTGATCTCTCCGCTCTTTGATCTCTCCATTTTCTCTTATTAACATTCCCATTACTAGGCTTGTAGTAGTCTTTTCTAGGATAATTGGGATACTTGTGTGAATTTTAAATGTTTATATGATCATCTTCAAGATTTTTTTATTGGTATATACTTCTTTCTTGCATGCAAGCACTACAAATTATACTGCTGGCTTGATGCTTCACTACATTCTTGTGAATGAAAATAGCTTTTCCATCAAAATGCAACAGGATCGTTAAATACATCGATTTCAATCATTTTTCGTGAACAATAAGATACAGAAATCTGATACATATTTATTGATAATCTGATTCTTACAATGACTCAATTTTCCTAACAAGGGGTAACTTTCATACCTGAATACATATACTGCCAGTTACATAGGAATACATATCGCGAAAGCAAAATCCCATCACAGCAGATGAGCATAGTTTTAAAATCAAAACAACAATAAGATTATTTCAGTTGCTACATTATTGATAATGCAAATGGAGATTATATGTAATTTTTACAAAAGATGTCGTACAATGTTCTACACAATGACTAGGTCGTCAATAGAGCGCGATGACCAACCCCTATGAATTTTTGTATTTTTAAATGAAAAACAAACCATACTAATTGCAGTGTCATTCTCGACGAATCGTCCTTTAGTTACGATGTTTTATCTAAACCACCAGCTAGCTGCATATGTAGCCATCCTGGCTGTGATCCTTGAGCATAGCCCCTTCTCGCTTGCGATCCAAATACTATTCCAGAAAGATCAATTGGTTGAGCACCAACCTAAACCAACAGATCAGCCTATAAATATTAACAGTGCTAAAAAGCAACAATCAATTAAAGAAATAGAATTGAATCTGGAATTTAACTCAACTAGCACGTACCAGTTAGCACATACCAGTTAAACTACATCATCCACCCCAAATTTGCTTTGATAATAGATTAACATTAAGCTCAATTAGTTATACTTACATCTTTTAAAGGAAAACATTCAATAGAAGGTTGCATATTCAATCTTGAATTAACTGCTTCAAGTTTCATTGAAAGGAACTGAACAAAAAAAAATTAAGTTAATTTCCACATAAACAATAATTAAGTTAGAGAAAATAATAAAAACATAAAAGATATAATTAAGCACCTCAACTTGATGTTGTAGTGATTGAATATAATTGATTATCTCATCAAGCACAAGTGCTTTACCAATTACCTAAACAATTTGAAAAGAAAAAAAAAACATATAAACAATAATTCAATAATTCAATACAAAATTACAAAACATTGTTTATTATTTTTCCTACCTTGTTACATCCCGGAACTAAATCTTGTAGAATTTTCATTCTCTCACTAATCTTTTCTCTTCTCGCCTGTCATAATAATAATAATTAAAAAATATTTAAATATTTTTTAATAAAATTAAAAAAATAAATAATAATGAAACTGTTATTACTCTTTCAGCGAGACTGTGACTATCGGTGGCTTGGCCTCTTCTTGCTCTAACGTGAATGTAATCTTGCTTGGGCGGCGGTGGCGGCGGTTCAGAAGAACGTTTGTCATTCTGTTGTTGTTTCTTTGGTGAAATTGCGTTTGGTTTGGATTTAAACGCAGCGTTTTGATCATTCTCCGGTAGTGCTAGTTTGATATGCTTAGTGGCAGAGTCATTTTCCGAGAGGGAGTGGTTTCGTTTGTTTTGGGATGGAAAGTGAGGCCAAATTTCTGATAAAGAAGGGTTAGCAGAAGAGAAAGTGCAATCGTTGATGAGAGGATGCTCCATTGTGTTGATAACAGTAATAATGATTATGATTTATTTATTGAGGTAGCAGTAGTGGTGGTACTGGTATAGTACCGGCAATTATGAGTTTGATGGTGAAATGATCGTAATTTTTTTGGAGTAGAGTTTGTCTGATTCGAGAATTAGGCTATGCAGTTGCGTGGGGAAGAGAAGAGAATTATGAAGAAATTGACGGAGAGAGTGAGATGAGTAGTGAGGTTAGTTTGTGAGAGTATTGAGGAGTGAGGTTCTTATCTAATTATCGTTGTCACTTTTAGGTGGTGGGTTCTACCGTAACGCTGGATTACTGTTACAAAATTATCCGCAACTGTTGTTAACAAAAGCAAGAGAGAAAATGATTGTGGCGTATAATTTTTTCATTTTTAGGTCGAGTAAGGTGAATAAAATATAATACCGCGGATTCAAATTTGTAATTCGCGTGCATATAACTTTTTTTATTTTTTATAAATGTATAATTTGGCCTATGAAAATATTCGTATTTCCGTTAAATTCTAAAGATTTATGGAGTTTAAATTTTTAATAATTTTACTCATTTTGTTCATAAATTAATTATTTACACTTTAAACATTTAGGTTAAAAGCTTTTTATCGTTATAGATGGATTTTTCTTTTCTTACTTTTTATTTGAAAATTTCTTAAGACATCTTATATATTTTTTTAGACGTCATGTAGATTTTCTATAATATTCATAGTTTTCAAAAAAATATTTTCGCACGCACCTTTTTTACATTTAAGAAAGGTTATTCTGAATGGCGCCTCATAAGGTTGATAAAAATTTATTCCGAAGATATATTTCTGGAACCATTTGAAAAAAATATGAATATTAATCAATTTCGTGAATGTTTCGAAGATATATCTTTGAAAATGTGAGCAGCAATTTGAATTTTTCTGTCACTTTTATATGTCAGATTGTTCCAGAGATATATCTCCGAAAATATCTGATATATTTTTCAGCTGCATGATCAGTCCCCATTGTTGTCATACTTCTATTTCAACTCAAACCTTCTCCCCTAAAAATTCTACATTCTCAATCCCATTTTTCACTCAAAATCTCCATCTTTTGTGTTCAACATATCACATGGAGCAAAAAAAGATCGAATTTCAAGTAAAGATTATTCATTATCATCTACATTGATCACATTAATCATGAAAATTTGTTGAAAAAACTTACACAGTGTTCAAAGATGTATCTCTGGAACGTGCTAAACATGAACTTTTCCGGGGAAATATTTCTAGAATGTTTCCGTGTTCATTTTCCATCATTTTGTGCAGCAATAAATTAATTATTTTTACTGTTTATATTTTTTCAATAGATATGGTGCACCCCGACAATATCTCGAAACAAGTAGTTTCTCCGAATGTTTAAGGGATTGTTATTAAGGCGATAGATGTTCGCAATGAATTTAATAACAAGCAAGAGTTTGAAAATCGTGATAAAATGCTCGAATGGATTCGTATGGTGCCATATAAACTTGGATTTGGTGTGGTTATCGGAAGGTCGGATAATGGCTCAGATAGAAGAAGCGCCTTTGTCACTATGGTGTTCGAAAGAAGCATGAAATATCAAACTTCTCTTCATAATTTTAAGAGAGAAGACACAAGTAGTAGAAAATGTGAGTGTCTGTTTAACCTTCGTGGTTACATGTTAGCTAGGAAAAAAATGGAGATTTAATATCATTTGTGGTGTACATAACCATGAATTATGCTTAAAATTAGTCAGACATCCAAGTATATGTCGACTCAAGCTGGAAGAGAAGGTATGTATTAGTGACATGACCTTGAATTTGGTCCAACTGAAAAATATACTTGCAACATTGAAACGAAAGAAAACCAAAAATATATCAAACATCAAGCAAGTGTATAAGATTAGGTACCTCACTAACAAGGCGATTAGGGGAGATAAAACTGAGATGCAACAACTGTTGAAACTGTTGGACGATAACAGTTACGTGTCCCAATACCAAACTTGCGACGATGGAGTTACGATTAGAGATATTTTTTGGACTCATCCGGATTCGATAAAATTGTTCAACACGTTTTCGACAGTGCTCATACTTGATTCTACCTACAAGACTAATAAGTATAGAGTTCTATTATTTGAGATGGTTGGTGTTACCTCAACTGAGAAGACATACTCCGTTGGTTTTGCATTTTTAGAATGTGAAAAAGGACAATTTTACTTAAGCATTAGAGGTGTGTCGGTCACTTTTGAATGATCAAGGTGATATGCCTAAGGCTATTGTTATGGACCGTGATACCACATTGATGAATGCGGTTGCAAAGGTGTTTCCTTCTTCTTATGCATTACTTTATAAGTATCACATATCAAAGAATGTGAAGTCGGGTTAAACTCGTGATAGAGACAAAACAAGTAGAGTCTACAAGTGGAAAATTGGTGAAGTTGGGTGTGATTGTGGAGAAAATAATGGATGCATGGAATCGCATATGCAAACCACCTTCGATGCCGCTTCCACCAAAGATTCCATTCATTGACGAGATGCCAGTTTTTATGCACAAATATATCGATCGTAGCGTCAATGTTGTGGGAGACGGTAATTGCGATTACCGAGCTGTTTCAAATTTACTTGGTAAGGGAGAATATAGCCATGCGCTAGTCTGTCATCAACTTATCCAAGAGTTGAAGATGCACAAGGAATCATACACACGGTTGTACGAAAAAAAAAGAAGCATTCGATGCGGTTTATGTCATTTGTTTCTTGCTTGAGCGGTCTGACACCAGAGTCAAAATAGACGAGCTTCCTGAATATGGGTCACCTAATTGCATCTGCATATGATAAGTTGTGCATTGACCTGATATGCTACGTGTTTTCGAAAATCTTTTTTCCACTGTGCACCACACCACCCCCAAATTACAAATGATTGCATCATGCGTATTTGATGGATTTCAAAATCAAGTCATTTTGTTCAAGTTTACTTGAAACCGAGATGCCCCCATACCACCCACATCACCGGAACAGATGACTCATTCAACCGTAAATACTGAGACGTGATCGAATAATTTTATATAAATGATGCAAGAATTTGATATATTGAACAACATTGAAAAGGAATCGAATGCATAAAATTCCAAGGGGGTGCCACCTATAGATTTATCTAGCGACACATGTTTTGATTTGTTTTGATTTTTTGTGTAATCGGACAAATAATTATATATAAGTGTTTCAATATAAATGAAGTGTTACATATTCACTTATTATTCATATTTGGTCTTTATGCATATTTGGTTCATATTTGGTCTTTCTCAACTCTTTACATATTATTCTGTTTTGAAAATGTATCTGGAAAAGTTCTAGAGATACATCTCCAGAAGGTTGTTTTGTTTTTGAATAGTTTAAGGAAAGCTCCAGAGATGCATCTCTAGAACAAGATAATGGAGTATCATTTCGGAGATATATTCAGAGTATGAATGACAGTCAATGAGTGGTCCTTATTGAACTAGGTCTTCTATAAATTTAGGTGTTCTTGTGTTATACTTCACACAAATTCAAAATGTCTCAAGCGCGTGAAATAAAAAATTGTTGGTATGTTGCAAGTGTCTCCTACTCCGGCGCTTCTACACCCGAGAGGACGTTCAAACTCACTAATTTCACCTCCCTCGACGATATTATAGACAAAATCCACTATCTCCTACCTTACGGAGACACATGAAGGGTTGTCAAGCTTGAGCACCGTTCACTCTCGGTTAACAATGAAGGGAATATTGTGTTCAACAAATTTGAGCTCAAGACTTGAGCAGATGTTATGGCGAGTTGACAAACATTTTTTGATTTCGAAGAGAAAGTTCCGCTCGAGATGGAAGTGACACTACGAAGATCGATCGACAATATCTTGGAGATGTGCTAGCGTCCACCGGGACATTGAAATGTAGTATTTAATTTTCTGTTGAAATCATCATTGTAATGCTCATATTATGTTATGAATGCTCATTTGATGTTTGGAAAGTTCATTTTGTGTTGATTTTGTCTCTAGTTTTGTTCCAGAAATATAACTACGATATGGTTCCAGAGATATATCTCTAGAATAAATCTTTTGCAAATGCATGGGGCGCCATCCATAATGGCCTTCCTTGAGTGTGAAAAGGGTGCGTTCAAAGATATATTTCTGGAAACTATGGTCAGTATAGGAAATCTGTATGTTGTCTAAGAAACACATAGGATGTAATAAGAATTTCTCCTCTTATTTTAGATCGATCCTCGATCCAATTCATCTTGAAGTAGATGACCTGGATCTTAAGAGGTAGGACGATTAGAGATCGAACATGTTTTAGAGACACATGAGTCACGTCTGAATAGTTTTTTACGATATCTTTGATGAAGAAAATTCACAAGATTCTATAACATATGTCTTGCGAAACAATTTTCTTAAAATAAGATTTTAAAATCTCTAAATCTTAAATCCTAAATGTAAACATCTAAAGAACATTTCATACTTTGACTCTATTGACTTGATTGTAAAAATGTTTGCAGGCACCCCTAACTGAAATTAACATACAACATCATCGTTGAGGAGTTCATCAACATTTAAAATTTGAGATCTTTTTCAATCAACTACTTTACAAAGAATAATTGATAAGATAACTAAAACAAATAAAATAACTGATTGAATTTGTAATGTTAGATATATGCATGGCAACATAGCGAGGCAGAGGCGGGAGCGAGGGCGGGTTTAAGTACACTTAGACATGCCCTCGCTTCCCAAGCCCAGACCAGCTCGCGCCCCAAATTTTTGTTTAGGGTTAAAAATTGTTCCTCTGCCCCCGCCCCCAAAAAGAAACGGGTTTCCCTGCATCCGCCCCGCCCTCACCCGCATAAATTGTATTTTTTTATAAAAAATATATTTTTAATAACAATAAAAATCAATAATTAAATTAAATAATTGATTATTTTAAGAATAATCAAAATTCTTGATAAACATGATATTGTAACATTAAAAAGTGTAAATGAGTAATAAAATTATTAAAAATAAATAAAATAATTAAATTTAGTTGGCGGGGTGCAGAGCGGGTACTAGCATCCCCCGGCCCTGTAAAAAAACGGGTTTTCCCCGCCCCCACACCTGCCCGCGTTTTCCCCCCGTTAATTACGGAGCGGGGCAACCAGGGGCCGGCGGGGCTGTATTTATTTGTCATGCCTAGTTAGATAGCTTTATAATTAGTATATCAATGTGAAATGGCATAAAACGTAATTTAACTAATACTTAATTTTTTTTTCAATTTAGATCAAACTAAAACATTTTTTTTTCTTTTATCTTGAGTTCGATATTCATATTGATCTCCGAATTAAAAAATATTCTTATTGATACTTTGGTTTTATTAAATTGTTCTACGTTAGTCATTTCTATTTATTCCATGCAACCGACCTTAAGAAATGCTCATATGATTTGTCAAAAAAATTTCTTGCAATTTGTGCGTCTTTGTTCCTCAATTCCACAAAATTAGAGTTCCTAAACAATTCATCTTCTACCTCTTCAAAATATTTTGTCCGAACCTTCCGTGAGTGGTTTAGATTCAAACATTGGATTAGCTGTGTGGAAATGGAGTTACTCTTTATTGAATTTTATTCTTAAAGTCCATATAGTATTTAAAGGAAATGATTCTTTTATATATATTATTCCAACCATAAATGTTGAGTATTTATAGATACAAATGATACTTGAGTGTATAACTAATTCCTAATCTTAAGGGAACCCTATTGTTGATTCCTAGTATTAAGCAATGAATAATTCAAATTATACCAACTCATATGCATAGTAATAGGAATGGTTGGTTACACTTAATTATTGGAACAACTTATTCTTATCTATTATTATGCCCCCTCAAAATTGGGTCACCATCAATGACACAAATTTTGTCTCTGAGAAATGAAAATCTGGTTCGAATCATAGACTTTGTTAGAATATCTGTCGGTTGGTCCTTTGTAGAAATGTGAGAGACTCGTATATTTCCAAGTTGAACCATTTGTCGCACGAAATGATAATCTAGAGCAACGTGTTTCATTCGAGAGTGAAAAACTGGATTGGAGCATAAGTAGGTTGTGCCAATATTGTCACAAAAAAGAGTAGGTACTTGAGATGGTACTCCAAGTTCACTCAATAGATTGAGCAACCACATGATCTCAGCTGTAGTATTGGCAGCAGATCGGTATTCGGCTTCTGTGGAAGATTTTGCAACTGTTCTTTGTCTTTTTGATAACCATGAAACAAGATTTCCTCCAAAGTAAATGATGTAAGATGAAGTAGATGTTTTGTCATCGTAATTACCTCCCCAACCAACATCGGTGAAGGCTTGAAATTTGAGATGAAGTGGTTTTGCTAGCCGCAAAGCATGATTAATAGTATGTTTTAGATACCGTAATACTCGCTTGAGCTGCTGGAGATGCAGTTGTGTTGGTTGATGCATGAATTGTGACAATTTATTAATTGCAAAGGACATACCTGGCCTTGTCAAATTAATGTATTGCAATGCACCAATGATACTATGGAATAGCTTTGAGTCGGTAGCGGCTGATCCACCATTTAGTTTGAGAGGAGTAGTCATACATAATGGTATGTTGACGGTCTTTGCTCCAGCCATATTGAACTTATCCAAGAGTTCTCGAATATAACCATGTTGAGATAATAACATACCCTCCTTGGTTGGGATCATTTCAATGCCAAGAAAATAATGAGGGAAACCAAGTTGTTTAAGCGAAAAATTGTTGGAAAGTTCTGTCATGAAGTGAGTTAAAAAGGTAGTATCACTGCCCGTCAAAAGTAAGTCATCAACATATACTAATAAGAAAGCTTGTACACCATGTTTATTGGAAATAAACAAGGATGAATCACTTAGGCTTGTTTGAAACCCAGTAGAAAGAACAAAGGCCTTGAGAGAATCATGTCATGCTCGAGGTGCTTGTCGTAAGCCATAAATAGCCTTCTTGAGTTTGCATACATGTTGAGGAAATTCAAAATGAATAAATCCGGGTGGCTGTTGCATGTAGACATCTTTAGTCAATTTTCCCTGCAAAAAGGCATTATTAACATCCATTTGGTGTAAGGGCCACCCTTGAGCAAGTGCTAAAGTGAGAACCACTTTAATAGTTTGAGGTTTCACAACCGGTGCGAATGTTTCCTTAAAATCAAGACCAGGTGTTTGAGTGAATCCTTTTGCAACCAACCTTACTTTATATCATGCCACACTTCCATTAGGATTTCTTTT